TGCCATTAGATTGATTTTTTTTTCAAAAAGTACATGTATATATATTAAAGACTAAGTTGAAACCCTTAAAAAGTAGCTCTAGAGTGAAAACTTACTGTTTCTAGTTATGAAGCTTCTGGTTTTAAAAAATGAATTAGATCATTACCTTGATATATATGAAATTTTTATAAATAGAATATGTATATATTCTATATATACATATATTATGTATATGTGCTAATTTTCTTAAAAATATAAAAATTCCTGTGTTGCTTCGCCTTGCATATATATATGTATATATGCAATTTTATATATATAAATGCAGTACCTATAAATATATATATTCATGTATAAATTTATATATAAAATTTATATATATTACATATTTATATATAAATTCCTGTTTCTTCACCTTGTATGTATGTATGTATATATGCAATTTATATGTATAAATATATATATTTATGTATAAATTTATAGATTTACAAATATATAAAACAAAATCAAGAAAAATCTAACTTGGATCTTTGTAGATAAGCAAAAAATAGATTCCTGATTATATTCTAATACACCATAACATAGTTTTAAGAATATGAATTCAGGAGATGAACTACTCAATTGCTAAGCCCTGCTTAGCCCCTTATTAGCTACAAGATTGGTATAATATTCTCTGTGCCATGTTTCTTTCTTCTTAAAATGGTGCTAATAAAAATGTCTACCTTGTATGTTTCTTTTTTTCAATAAAGATTAATGAAAATATATGCAAAATGCTTGGAACACTTCCTGGCATATAAAAACACTGTATAATTATTTGCTTTTTTAACTCTCTTTTGATATGTGGTTTGAAGCCACAATTTCTACCCCAAATTTCAATGTTTCACAAGTATATTAGAAACAAAGGAAAACATATATGATTCTTTAAAATCAAGAAGAAGTCAACAATATACACTACCACTGCTTCTTTTTATTTTTTTAAGATTTTATTTATTTATTTGAGAGACAGAGAGCACAAGTGGGGGTGAGGGATAGAGGAAGAGGGAGAAGCAGACTCCCCACTGAGCAGGGAGCCTGATACAGGGCTCCATCCCAGGACCCTGAGATCATGACCTGAGCCAAAGGCAGATGTTTAATGGCCTGAGCCACCCAGGTGCCCACTACCACTGCTTCTATTCAGCATTGTACAATAGGTACTACCCAGTGGAGTAAGAAAAATAAAAAATAAATTAAAATGTATAAGGATTGGAAAAAAAAACTGTGTAGTTATTCACAGGTAATATAGATTTAAAGTCAATATTACATATTCAACTTCATTTATATGTACCAGCATAAACAGTTAGAAATTTAAATATATTTTAAAACTATCATTTATAATGACTAATAAAAACTAAAGTATCCAGGAATAAATCTAACATATTTTCAAGACCTAAAGGTACACAATTAAAAAAATATTGGAAGGCTTTTTATGAAAACTTAAATATTCATGGATATGAAGATTAAATATTGACAAGATCTCAATTCTCTTCAAATCTAGTATAGGATGAAGGCATTTCCAATTGAAATCCAAAAGGATTTTGTGGGGAACCTTTCAAGTTGATTTTAATGATTATATATTGTAGGAAAGTCCTCAAAATCGCCAACACATTCCTGAAGGAGAAAGATTACATAGTGGTACCTGCACTACTAAAACTCAACTTACTTTAAAATTTTACTAATCACTAAAGAGGATTCTGCATGGAGCACTGGGTGTTATGAACAAACAATGAATCATGGAACAGTACACCAAAACAAATTATGTAATATATGGTGATTAACATAACAATAAAAAAATTAAAAAAAAGAATGAAATAGGAAATTATGATTAAAAAAATGTAGTTTGTTTTTATGTGGGAAGAATAGGAGTATAATTCACTTTTTGGCTCTGGGACTATCTTCAGTTTTCATTGGTACACTCCAGGAATGGCATTATGTTACTCAAACCTGGTGAACAGAAGGTGGTAGGTAATTTAGGTGTCTGTAAGTGTGCCAAAGAGTGGATTGCTTAAAGCTTTTGGGGTCTATGGTCTGGAGCATGTAGTAGAAATAAAGTGGCCATGAATTGTACTTCCTATCCTTAAAAAAAAAAGCCTCTGTGTTTCTTTAGATTTTGGAGGCAACATACTGTTCCAAACTAGTTACCGTGTGACCATGAAGTCTCAAGTGGGACACAGAGAAAAAGAAAATGTTGCAGTAGGTTCAGGCTGCAGTGTAAGATGCCTCTATCAGTGGCATATGTCCCAGGAAACCAATATGTTAGAGATGTCACATTTGCATAAGGATGCTGTGTGGTCTTCGGTAAACCCAATAGCAGATGTCTGGGATGTTTATAGGGCAAGGCAATGCCATTTGTGATTTAAAAAACAAAAAAACAAAAAAACAAGCAAACAAAGAACCACCACATTCTCTTTTTTTGTAAAATAACTCCCAGTGTGCTGATTTCCTCTCCATCGGACCTGCGTTCTCCATTTTGGGTTGAGTATTATCAAGTCTACTGAATGTAAAGCTGCGAGAGCAAAGAAGCAAGCCATTGCACAGTGGAAAGAGAATAGGGAGGACTGGGTTTGATAAGATCCAGAAGGCGTGAGTAAAACTACACGATTACATGGCCCAGCCTTTCATGCTACTTAGCCATATAATACTAACATATGTGTGTATCTCCAGAAAGCTACACACACACACACACTCACAAGCTTTATTTTAGCCACTGATTTAGGGGGAAATTTTGAAAATGAAAGAGGGAGAGTGTGTCATTAGAAGCTTATTACAGATGTGATCCAATATATGAAACTGTAATTCAGGAACAGGAAATGAAGAGTTGTAGACATTTTATTAACTTCTTTTTGTATACTGTGTTTATATTTCTTTAGATATAGAGTCCACAGGCAGTCTGTAGTCTACTTAATAACTAATTTCAAAGATTATTAGCACATATTTGTGATAAATCTAGTACAAATTTTGTCAGGCTTAATATTCGTAGCACTGCTTTTTTTATTCTTTATTATGTCTTGGGTATTTGTTCATTATATTGAGGCACATTTAAGGTCTAGAGATTAATCTTTCAAATGGGTCACCACTAAAAATGATTAGCATTTTATAGTTATTGTTTACTTATATTAAAAAAATTATTATTAAGGATCTTGAGCTTTAGCCTATATATCTATCTTTGTATTTTCTAAATGACTTACTCTTTGTGAGGTCACATACCCAGGAAGTTCCTTTGTCCAAAATGACAAAATAAAACCAACATGTAGAAAGAAATAAAAAGATCTCTTAATAGCCTAAATTAATATTATAGCATACAAATAGAGCTAATATATTTTACTAGATGAGAATAATTATATGGCTCTCAGTATTTCTGCAGTTATGTAATGAAAGGCCAGTGGTTAGCTAAACCTCAGTCCTCTCTAAGGATTCCATCACGTGGCAACACACCAAATCGTAGAATCCTAAATATCAAATCCTTAACATCTCAGTTCAACAATCAAACTGCATAACGTTCTTCAAAATCTTCTTCAGAATGAAATGATTACATATTTATTCTGAGATACTAAGTAAATGTAAAAACGTATTTTTATTCATAATTTGCACACACAAAAATAAACATGTCCCTAATGTGTAACTTTGTAATGTCCAATTTGACATTTTAAAACACAAGAAAGTGGAAAGGAATCTCATTTATTCAGCATCATGGTAGAATTACAAATTTTCCATAACTTTCTAGATAACATAATTTATTCATTTCAAGTGCAAAAAAATCTTAATATTCCCATTTTATTTAATTATTTAAGTTTTTTCTCATATATTTCAAGGCCTATTTTATTTATTTATTTATTTATTTATTTATTTATTTTTAGGTTTCTTAGGTAATTCTTTTTTTTTTCAATACCTATTTTAAAAAGTATGCTAAACATAGTTTAGGATTTTCCATTTTTTTCTTTTGAAACATCTTTTTTTATCACCTTCATTCTCATTGCCATCATTTAATTCAGAACTAAATGATTAACTGCAATGTCATGTATCATTTTCCACATTCGTTTCCCTGTGCCTACCTTCCTTAATATTCCCCCATTCTCAGAGTCATATAGCATATGTGGCACATTAAATTTTGTATTTAACTCAATGATATTTTTATTGCTTATAGTATTTTATGCATATTAATTTTGACTCTCTGACATATAACTACACCATATACTCCTTAAAGGCAAAGGTAAAGCTTTCATTATTTAATCAGTACTCTATTTTTTTAAATCCTAGAACAATATTGAATATATAATGCCTTCTGACTAAATAACTATTTTTTTAGAATAACAAAAAATATTTTACTAAAACATAAGATTTACAGAAGTTTCCAGACAAGCCATACAAAATGGTCACAAGCTTTTTCTTGAAGGAAGGATTCTACACTTGACAGCAAGTCACAATGTTATTAGTGAGGGCTGTGATGTTTGTTTAATATTCCCATTTTGGTTCAAACAATCAAGCTTGTCCATCTACAGCGTCTAAATAAAGTTAGACTTGGCTAGAGAGCATATTCTAAAGAACTGGTTAGCTGCTTTTAACCAATGCAATTAGATCACCATAAAAGGGGGGAAAGGAGCCCAAAAAATTAAAATAAAACTACCTCTCCCCCTCAAAAAAAGTAATAAAGAAAAACACCCACACCCCTGCAGCTAACCCTGACAACTACCTTCATTCACAGTGCTTTATACTCAAACCATGATGGGGAAATGAATAAAAGCAGAGAAGGGCCACTGCTTTTAAACGTTTCACAACAATCCGGATGGTACTTCTAGCCTCTGCTCATGCTTTACAACAGTGAATCAGGACAAGACATAGGTTTGCTAATGTGCATTTAATCACCAAAGGACTGAAGATGTCTGGGCTTTTATTCTGTAATGTTTCTAAGACTGTGTCCATTAAATGCAAACAAAAAAGGAAGAAGTCTTGGCAGAGCAGGAGAACAGGAGAACTTGATAATCAGATCGATTTTAAATATTATTCATGGCATATAGCCTAGTCCATGCTCTAGCTGTTTCTATGGCTTGGGCTTTGTTGGTCTTCCACTGCTCTGCTACATCATTTGCTAATGGATCATCTGGATTGGGAGCACTTAACAAAGCCTGGATCGATAGCAGAACTGTGCGGATCTGCAGTACTGGGGACCACTTAGCTTTCAAAATATCTAAACATATTCTTCCCAACTTGTCTACATTAGGATAATAAATTTTGGTCATGAAACGTACTTTAGGGGCTGCCATCGGGTATTCTTCTGGTAGGAATAGTTCAAGCTTAAAAGTCCCTCCCTCAAAGGGGGAATCCTGGGGGCCAGCAATGACCACATGAAAATAACGGGCGTTGCTCTCATTTGGTTCTGCTTTAATGCCAGGAACTGGTTCTGCCAGCAAACGCTGGGTTTCCTTGATAATCCTGTGGGGCAGCCCGGCCATCTTGTCAGATCCCGAGTTCGGCCTCTGGTCTCGACTCCGGCTCCGCTCGCCTCACGCACGAGTGGAAGTACAGGGCTCCACTTACTAAATAACTATTTTTATGTTTAAGTTCAATTACAGTCATTTGAAAAATGATATCTTACTTAGCTTCATATAAGTAGTTTCAAATTTTCTAAAGCCACAAAACTCTGATAGAATGAGACTTACATTTAAACTAGAAAAATATAAGCCTAACAGCTTTCCTTGAAATGAGTTGGGAGCAGCAGAGCTCACAAATTTTCCTTGTTTTCAAACAGATGACCTCTGATGTATTGTGAGTTTTAAAATGTCTTTTCTATAATATTTAGTCTTGCTAAATTCTAGTATTGACTGATCAACTATTTCAGAATATAAAAATGTCAAAAATATAAAAATACTTTCATATGATTAGTATTTATGATAATTTGTCACTTATGTAAGCCTTGTGTTCCTACTATATTCAAAAGTGTGTTTTGGGTTTTGGTTAGTTTGGGGGATCAGAAGTAACATAGGCCATCCAGCCAGCCAACACTCGTTAAGCACTTTCTCTATGCTCTATAGGCACTGGGGATAAATAGCCGAAGGACAAAATTTGCAGAGAGGTTCCTACTCTTAGGTGTCTTGTATTTTGTTGGGGAAGACAAGTATAAAACACACATAATGTCAGGTGTAGTTAGGGCTTATGAAGAAAAAATTGAAGCAAGGTAAGTTTGAGAGAGATGGAGAAGATGAAGCTGCTGCTCTATTTAATAGAATGGTTAAAGCACAGTCTCTGCAAAAGTGAATTTTGATCAGAAATCTGAAGGTGAGGGGCGCCTGGGTGGCTCAGTCGATTAAGCGTCTGCCTTCGGCTCAGGTCATGATCTCAGGGTCCTGGGATCAAGCCCCGCGTTGGGCTCCCTGCTCAGTAGGGAGACTGCTTCTCCCTCTCCCGCTCCCCCCGCTTGTGCTCTCTCTCTCAAATAAATAAAGAAAATCTTAAAAAAAAAAAAAAAAGATCTGAAGGTGACGAGGTGAAATGTAGTGCATTCATTTCAGAAGTTGGTTTATATCTTTATTGTTGAGCAGCAACATCTGCTATGTTACAGATTTAGGGAAGGCTGTTTTTAATATAATCAGAACTTTGATGCTTTTAAGATTCTCAATTCTAGTCTGATGTCCAAGTTCAAGTGGGAGAATACTCAGGAGTCATGAGTATCCATTTGTCTTGTTTTGAAAAGGTATGACAAAGCTATTTGTATCTAAAGCACGATGGTTCTTACAGAGAAAGGACTCAACCTTGAAGCTCCAGGATTCAGATTTAGCATATTTAACCATTTGTTCATAGAATCGCAAATTGCATAATAAAATAACATTAACTTTGTGTGATGAGTATATATCAAAACTTTTTCTTTGTTATTAAATTAGAGTAAGAACTTTAGTGTTTTTTATATGTAGGGGATGCAGTTTTGAAAAAAGTTGAGCACTACCAGTTTGACATCTGGCTCAAACATACTATCAGTAGATTATACTTATAAATAATAATTCTCTAAGCAACTCAAAGCCTTTCAGAGATCTTTCTCATTAATCCATACAACTTTAAGGAAAATTTCAGAGACCGCTACCACCGTTTTTTTTTCTCCCAGGGGCTGAAAGTAAGGCACAGTCAGATTAGCTGCCTTGCCCCGGGCCAGTCAACCTTTTAACAGAAATGAGAGTAGAACTGAGCCTACTGACTTTTTCCAAGGAGCTAGTTTCAAAACCTTGCCTCACTGTTAGAAGAGTGTGCTTTTTGTCATTACCAGAGGCAGAAAGGTAAAAATAAAAAATTGCCTATGTCAAAATCATGCCACCTTTAGAAAGGTTAGCTTTCTCATGGTTCACAAAGTAGGCTTTTTGCCTTTTTTTTTTTTTTTTAATACAGGAATCCAGAAACAATAATAAAGTTTTGGGAAACCATTGAACTTGATTCTTCTTTATATTGCTATATATCAATGTCAATATTTTCTATAAAGTATGCACATTACACTGGACATTGTTAATAAGGTGAACAAACAAACACTTGCTAATCCAGTCTGTAAAGTATCCATTACTTTCACAAATGTTATTGAGACCTACTTTGTAGGAGCAGGATATGTATCGGGAGTGATAATGATATTTATAAAAGATTTTGCCCTTTGTTCTACTTGAAAGGAATTTCTAGCATAGTCAGGGCAATAACTCCATCTATCGAGCACATGAAAATGTCCTAATATATCATATATAAAGTACTGTGCTACTTCACCAGAGTGAGCGTCATTCATCAATTGGGTTTCACAAAGGTTTCATGAAATGCCATTGAAATTTGGATTTTGATGGCCAGATATTAGGACAGTGGGAACTACAAGCATATTGTGTGGTCACCCCCTAGATTTGGGCTGAACCCTAACCATGTGTTCTGTGAGCAAGATTTTAGGTAACAACCACTGTTACTGGAGGTCTTTTTTCTTCACCCCTGGCCTGTTGACTAGTACTGCCGCCTCCTAGAGAACATGCAACTCTGAATGGCTGTTCTTTGGCTGGAGGGCTCATCGAGCTATGTAGCTGCCTGCTAGCAAGCTTGCACTTTGACCTGTCCTCCCTTGCGCTGCTTTGGGCTGCATCTCCCGAACCTAGCAAACCTCTGTTACAAATTTAACTGACCAAAGTCAGACATTTTGAGAATTGGCATGGGATATGGGCTTGGGGCCCTTCTTAAAGTGGCCATGGGTTGCTTGTCTCTACCCGTGCCTGTGCCTCTCAGATTGAACTGTGTGTGTCAATTTCAGTAAGGGGAAGAACTGATACTAGGCTTAGGGGAATGACTCTGATCCTGTGACTAGTGGTTGTATGTCCCATCTAGGCCTTGGGCCCGTACGGGAGGGCACTCGGGAGAAAGAATGGGACACTATGCCATATATGGGCTCATCAGGCAGTCACTTGTATAGAGGAAGAGTAGTTACTATGTGCTGTGAGAGCCATACTCCTCAAAGCAGATGGCTCACTAGGAGTCTGAGAGATGTCTTTGCTGGGGCCGCTGCCTATGCCTCTGTCGCCAAAAGAAAACACACAATGTACAAAATGCTTGGGATTTTCCAGAAACACAGATAGCCCAAGGATGACTGAAACATAGGAGTGCCTATGAAAATGGAGTGAGCAATAAGAGTAATGGTAATAATGACGGTGACAGCAGTAGAAATTACTGTCAGCTGTGCACAGTGTGCTAGGTACCAAAAAACTCAGTATAAAATCATCGGTGGTTCTGCAAGAATAGGCTTCGGGTTTAAGGTATTACTAGGAAATATTGAACTGCTGAAGTTTTCGGAGCAGAGCTGAGCTTTAGAAACACTAATTTGGTTGTATTGTGATACTATCATAGGCTTTATAATCAGTCAATTATTTTTCATTAGATTTTTTCTTCCTAATAAATCAGACACCAACCAAGTTTTAGAGTTTCTGTTTTAGGCCACTTACTATAGTAGTTCTATAGACATGTCAGTCATTTTACAGGATCTAAAATTCACGCTCTGCTATTCACTGTTGTGTGAGCCTGGGGAAAGTTAATTTTCTCTATGCACTCAGGTATTATAATCTTTAACATGAGGATAGTACTCAGATCTATTTCATAGAGCTATGGTGAGAATTGAGTTAATATAGTTAAAATATTTACAACAGTGTCTTACAGACAGTAAATCCTGATATAAAAGTGTCATTTAAAAAACACTTATTAAGGGGCGACTGGGTGGCTTTAGTCAGTTAAGCGACCAACTCTTGATTTCGGCTCAGGTCGTGATCTCGGGGTTGTGACCTCACCATCATGAGATGAAGCCCCATCCCGCATTGGGCTCCATGCTTAGCACACAGTCTGCTTGTCCCTCTACCTCCCCCTGCTTACACGTGTTCTCTTTCTATCTCTCAAATAAAAAAAAATACTTATTAAGTAATATCCATTCAACAAATATTTATTGAGTGTTTATATTCAAGGTACTGTTTTAATGTCTAGCAATATGGCAGGGAATAAGCAGATGAAGCAAACAAATTGTCCTCACGTATTGTAATAAAATACACAAAACTGTCCTCACGTATTGCAAAACAAAACAAAAACTGTCCTGTGTCTTGTAACAAAATATTTGTATCTTGGGTGTTTAGGGGTTTGAGGAAACAGAGGAGGATTTTGAAATAGAGTTCATAACAGATTTTTGTTGATATATTGAACTATTGAACATCTGACCTCATTTCTGTTCGGGAGGAATGTCTGTAGTGTGTGTGTGTGTGTGTGTGTGTGTGTGTGTGTGTGTATGTGTGTGTGTGTATTGGTAAGAGGCAAAGCCCCAGCTCACACTAGGAAATTTAAAGTTTCTGTACTTTCTTCTTTCTGCCGTCTGGCAGTTGAAGCATTGGACTGTGACTGAGGCTCTCCCGGTCAGATGCTCTCCACAAGGAACAATCAAGCAATAAGGGCAGAGGATTATTCACTCAGTGCCCAGTGGAATCAAGAGCCCAGTGGTGCTAGCCGTAGTGGGAGTTCAATGTGGCTGGGTCAGCGGCAGCGCTATGTGAATGACAAGGACATGACACAGGTTATTTTATTTGTTAGCCTTAGCTCCCTTTCATGGTCTTTGGACTTCTGGATATCCTTCCGTATGATTTTCACTATAGTCAGTGTCAGTTTCTTTGTTTCCAACCAAGCCCATTCACTGGTATACCTTTGATGATAATCAAATCACTGTCATTTACAGCATGGCTACAAGAGGGAAGTCATGAGGAGACTTGAATTCATTCAACCCAAATATATGAGCAGCTTCTCTGAGTTAATCACCATAATTGAGCAAAAACAGGTATCATCTCTGCCCTCTTTAATCAAATATTACACATATAAATTTAAAATTGCAGCTATAATAAATCTTTTGAAGGAGAGGTACATTATACATGATTATTTAAAGCAGGAGGATTTGACCTGATCAAGGATGTCAAAGCAGGCTTTCCCGAGGCTTTGACTACTGATTTGAAATTAAGGGTTGAAAGGTTAACCAAAAAAAGGGTGGTGA